CTGTGTGTCTGTGTTTCTGTGTTTCTGTGTGTCTGTGTGTCTGTGTGTGTGTGTGTGTGTCTGTGTGTCTGTGTTTCTGTGTGTCTGTGTTTCTGTGTGTCTGTGTGTCTGTGTGTGTGTGTGTGTGTGTCTGTGTGTCTGTGTTTCTGTGTGTGTGTGTCTGTGTTTCTGTGTTTCTGTGTGTCTGTGTGTCTGTGTTTCTGTGTGTCTGTGTGTCTGTGTGTCTGTGTTTCTGTGTGTCTGTGTGTCTGTGTTTCTGTGTGTCTGTGTGTCTGTGTGTCTGTGTTTCTGTGTGTCTGTGTGTCTGTGTTTCTGTGTGTCTGTGTGTCTGTGTTTCTGTGTGTCTGTGTGTCTGTGTGTCTGTGTGTCTGTGTTTCTGTGTGTCTGTGTGTCTGTGTTTCTGTGTTTCTGTGTGTCTGTGTGTGTGTGTGTCTGTGTTTCTGTGTTTCTGTGTGTCTGTGTTTCTGTGTGTCTGTGTTTCTGTGTGTCTGTGTTTCTGTGTTTCTGTGTGTCTGTGTGTCTGTGTGTCTGTGTTTCTGTGTGTCTGTGTGTCTGTGTTTCTGTGTGTCTGTGTGTCTGTGTGTCTGTGTGTCTGTGTGTCTGTGTGTCTGTGTTTCTGTGTGTCTGTGTGTCTGTGTGTGTGTGTGTCTGTGTGTCTGTGTTTCTGTGTTTCTGTGTGTGTGTGTGTGTCTGTGTTTCTGTGTGTGTTTCTGTGTGTCTGTGTTTCTGTGTGTCTGTGTGTCTGTGTGTCTGTGTTTCTGTGTGTCTGTGTGTCTGTGTTTCTGTGTGTCTGTGTGTCTGTGTGTGTGTGTGTGTGTCTGTGTGTCTGTGTTTCTGTGTGTCTGTGTGTCTGTGTGTGTCTGTGTGTCTGTGTTTCTGTGTGTCTGTGTGTCTGTGTTTGTGTGTGTGTGTGTGTGTGTCTGTGGTAGTGTGTGTGTGCACTTGTTTTCAACTCCTGGTGGGTTCCATAACCTGAGATTCCACTCACGTCATGGGGACTGGTTTTACGTGGTGGGGCCCGAACACCGGACCCCACTGGTCCAAGCTTAATAATCAATGGGTAATGCTTTTCTAACGGTCCTTATGCAGTCTCTGTAAAAATATGGAAAGGACCCCTGGAGGTTTACTTTCCTGAAAAAAGTGTGTTATGTGTCGGAACCCTGGTGGTGGGTTGCGGGATATCAAGGAGGGGCACACTGGGGCAATTTCAGTCCAGCAGGCTGGAGCCAATCATGGAGCAGCACAACAGAGGCTGGAGCCAATCATGGAGCAGCACAACAGAGGCTGGAGCCAATCATGGAGCAGCACAACAGAGGAAATCAGGTGTCAGGCTAGAAAAAGGTGCAAGTGTGTGGTTCATTAGGCTGCAAGAAATCATGGAGGAGCACACTGAAGCGCACGCTTACAAACCACTGGTAAGTGCTGACTACAAGTCATGACTTCAAATTGTTATATAGAATGATTACAAATTATTTGTTGTTTGTGCAGCTTAGTCAAGAGTCCCTAATTGATGAAGTCGACTCAGATTCTGACGATTTAACTGTCAAGAAGAAACCTGTAAAAAAGTATGGAAAAAGAAAAATCAAAAACACTTTTCTTCAAGACTCGGAAAGTGACGAACCAAAGGCAAATAAGATTGTTATCATGCAGCTGCAAAAGAAGAAAAATGGGGGGCGAGTATACAGCAAGAGACACTTCTGCCTCTACTGTTCAATGTCCTGCCACAAAATGTCCCGTCATTTGACTAGAAAACATGGAAATGAAAGTGACGTAGCCAGAGCATTGGCTCTACCTGTGAAATCTAAAGCACGTAAACTTCAGTTTGATTTGATCAGGAATAGTGGAAACCGTGAGCACAATGTTGAGGTTTTAAAGGCCGGCATTGGAACTTTAGTCCCAGCTAAACAGCCAAATTCCCCAGTTAAATCCAGTGAGTTTTTGCACTGTATAGACTGTGGGGCATTGCTTAAGCGAAAGTCGCTGTGGAGGCATGTGGCCAGGTGCCGGCTTTCACAGAAAGATGCCCAGGCTAAACCAGGTAGAAGTAGGGTCCAGTCCCTCTGCTCCCTAGCCCAGCCTGTACCGGAGGGCATCAGCAAAAAGCTGTGGTCTTTAATTTCGGCAATGCATCAGGATGAGGTCACGGGTGTTGTCAAAGCAGAAAAGGGGATTCTGAGACTCGGAGAGCACCTGTACTTAAAACACGGGCATGATAAGACAAAGCATGATTACATTAGGCAGAAAATGAGAGAAGTCGGTAGGTTAATTAACGAAGCAAAAACCGCAGGGAAACTGAAAAACAATTAAGGATTTCTTTATTCCTTCCAACTTTAACCATGTGATTGATGCAGTCAGGTCTGTGGCTGGATATGATGAGGAAACAAATCAATACAAGACTCCATCCTTGGCCCTCAAACTCGGCCATAGCCTCAGAAAGCTAGCAGATATTCTTGAATGTGACTCAAAAATGGAGCATTGTGTTGATGAACTATTTATTAAAAACCTCCAACGAAGCCGGCTGCTTTTTGAGAAGAGGTGGGACGTCTGTGTTTCTTCTGCTGCCCTACAGACCCTCCGGCAAGCCAAGTGGAACACTCCGGACCTGCTCCCTCTGACTGAGGACGTTAGAGCCATGCATGCACATATTGAGGTATGTCGACCTGAATATGTGCAAACCCTAATAAGTGAGCCAACGTCTAAGCATTGGTCTAAACTGGCAGTTTTGACTCTTTGTGAGGTCATCATTTTCAATCGAAGAAGGGAAGGTGAGGTTTCAAAGATGCCACTGACAGCCTTTACCTTAAGAAGTAAGACTGGGATCCATTCTGACATTGCTCTGGGACTGTCCCAACTTGAGAAAAAGCTGTGTCAGCATTTTCAACGCATTGAAATTAAAGGGAAAAGAAGTCGGAAAGTGCCGGTTCTTTTGACTCCTGAAATGATTGCTTCGATGGAGGTGCTGGTGGAGAACAGAAGGGCCTGTTCCATCTCTGACCATAACCCATACTTCTTTTCCCGCCCGGGCGCAGACACCCACATCAGGGGATCAGACTCCCTACGCCAGGTAGCCAAAGAATGTGGTGCGGTGCATCCAGAGATGCTATCCTCAACCAAACTTAGAAAGCACATAGCTACTATGTCTACAGTTCTCAATATGAAAGAGAATGAGATGGACATACTTGCCAACTTCCTCGGCCATGACATTCGCATCCACAGGCAATATTACAGACTACCAGAGGGGACACTGGAGCTGGCCAAAATCAGCAAAGTGTTGATGGCCATGGAGCAGGGAAGAGTGACGGAATTCAAAGGAAAGAGCCTCGACCAGATACAAATTGAGCCTGAAGGTAATTCTTGATATTATTAAAATATGTATGATTTTTTTCCCCTAAAGGCCACTTGTATTTTTATTTTCTGTGCGACAGGGAGAGCAGTAGAGATCCTCTCACAAACGGACGGGCTAAAAGAAACTTCAAGCGGAGAACCTTCAACCATTCATCCAGATGCACCCCATGGTAGTGGCAGTGCCCCTTCTGGTAAGTGTACCAGGTGGGGGATTACAGCCAGGCTGCTTGGTCCTCACCCTGGGAGTGTATATTGCTAATATATTTTTATTTCTCTCCCTAGAACGTTAGAGAAAGCCATGGTCTGCATCTGAGGTGAAGGCTGTGGAGAAGACCATGACACCTTTCATACAGACTGGAAAGGTCCCTGGGAAGTCTCACTGCCTGGCCTGCATTAATGCCTCACCAGATGACCTTAGACATCGGACATGGAGTGGCATTAAATTCTATGTCAAAAATAGAATCACTGCAATTCGAAAACAAAATCTAAAATAAAATTCCTTTAAAATAGTTGTTTGGTTTCTATTGACTGTTTTGTATTACTTAAAGTAGTCCCAGTAAAAAAAGATTATGTCTATGGGTCCCATTCTGAACGGCCCTGTCAAAGGGACCCACCAGGTAACAAAAACGTGTATGTGTGTGTGTGTGTGTGTGTGTGTCTGTGTGTCTGTGTTTCTGTGTGTCTGTGTGTCTGTGTGTGTCTGTGTGTCTGTGTTTCTGTGTGTGTCTGTGTGTCTGTGTTTCTGTGTGTCTGTGTGTCTGTGTGTCTGTGTGTCTGTGTGTCTGTGTGTCTGTGTTTCTGTGTTTGTGTGTGTGTGTGTGTGTGTGTCTGTGTTTCTGTGTGTCTGTGTGTCTGTGTTTCTGTGTGTCTGTGTGTGTGTGTGTCTGTGTTTCTGTGTGTGTTTCTGTGTGTCTGTGTTTCTGTGTTTCTGTGTGTCTGTGTTTCTGTGTTTCTGTGTGTCTGTGTGTCTGTGTTTCTGTGTGTGTGTGTGTCTGTGTGTCTGTGTTTCTGTGTGTGTGTGTGTCTGTGTGTCTGTGTTTCTGTGTGTCTGTGTGTGTCTGTGTGTGTCTGTGTGTCTGTGTTTCTGTGTGTCTGTGTGTGTCTGTGTGTCTGTGTTTCTGTGTGTCTGTGTGTGTCTGTGTGTCTGTGTGTGTCTGTGTGTCTTGGAGGAGATCTTTTCACTGTGGGATGTTGACTTTGTAGATTTCCAGTTGAGTTTTGTGTTGGGTCCATGGTCAGAGGTGATGTATCGCAGAGTGGGCAGTGCACCGGGCTGTGGGGGATGCAGCGCTCCATGATGTAGAGAGGGTTCTTTCCAGAACTGAACAACAGAGACAGAGCCAGAAAGCATGTGTGTGTGTGTGTGTGTGTGTGTGTGTGTGTGTGCGTGTGTGTGTGTGTCAGAGTTTTGTGTGCAGTTGGTGCGTTTGTACATGAGCTGAATCTGAATTGAATGTTCTGTTTCGGTGAGATGTGTCCTGTGTAATATTTTGTACTGTATGTTGAGGATGTTGTTACATATTTGGGTCCAGAAGCATCAGGGACAATTCCAAGGTCTTTTTCCCATTTTTCTGTTGGTAAAGCGCTTGTATAATCTGAATGGTGAGGATTCTGTAGATGTTAGCAGCTGGTTTGTTTGGAGTCTTGATATTTAGTCATCTGTTAATGTGGGGGGAGAGTGAGAGCAATGCTTTTGTGTCATATGATTCCCCCTCCTCTCCTTCTTCCTCCTCCTCTTCCTCCTCCTCTCCTTCCTCTTCCTTGTCCTCGTCCACATCCTCCTCTCCTTCCTCTTCCTTGTCCTCCTCCACATCCTCCTCTCCTTCCTCTTCCTTGTCCTCCTCCACATCCTCTTCTCCTTCCTCTTCCTCCTCCTCCTCCACATCCTCCCCTCCTTCTTCCTCCTCCTCCTTGCTTCTCCTCTTCCTCCTCCTTTTCTTCTTCCTCCTCCTCCTCTTCCACATCATGCTCCTCCTTCAGCTCCAGGAGGAGGTGCTGTTAACATATGATTGTAAACTTTCAAGATGCAGAGTCCTCAGTGTAGCTCAGCAGGACGGGTCAGAACCAGCTCCTGGACCAAAGAGAACCTCAGAGATGGTACATGATGTCATGTGACATGTCAGACGGTGATGACGCATCAAACATCCACTGTTTTAGCCTAATCAGCTTTTCGTTTGAACTTGGGTTGACATTTGAAGCATAAGTCCACGGATCCTATTATATAAAGACAGAACATGTTAGCACAGATGTACACACATGTATCTATGTGTTTATCTATGTATGACACGGTGTAACTGTAACTTGATCAACATCTGTGTTTCATTAATAATAATCACAGTGAGGTCCTCGGTCACTGTAGACACCTGCAGTAACATGGTAACACCACAGGATGGTGCTGTAGTGACGTCTTCCGTCCAAAGATAACAGACCTCTTTCATTTCTCCACTCCTGCCAATTCCTCATTAGTATTAATAATAACAATAATAATGCACAGGTTTCATTATTTTTTCACTCCAAACACAGTGGTTTTAAACAACTACTGTAGCCACAGCTGCCCTGACAGAAGCAAGGCAATTGGTCTGTGCCATCGGCCCCTGCCACCCACCATTCACACACACACCAGACTCATTCTAATGTGATTGAAGTGTCTTGCCTAAAGACACCAACACAGTCTGGCACTTTACAGCCGTCCCACTGTGTTCCTGGTGTTCCCAGAGGTCTTCCATCACAGTACTAACCAGGCCCTGCCCTACTTAGCTTCAGAGGTCTGACTTGATCCAGCTTTCACCTGCAGGTGGCGCCATACTATAACCTCTTCCAAATGAACTAATTTGTTACAATGGAATTACTGTTCTTCAAGAAGAGTTGAATTGAACATGCAGCAAACACCAGGACAGTATATAAGTATTATACATATACATATATACATATTATACAAGTCTGATATATTTTTTATTTCATCTTTCATTCGGACACACAATCCAAATAACATAAAAACAGACAAAAAACAAACAATCACACACAGTGTCTTTCGGCCCACTTGAATCTTTCGCCACATTTCAGACTTCAAACATAAACATATAACGTGTAAAATTGTAAACGTGGGACACAGTGGAATAGATTTAATTGGTTAAACTTTTTTTGAACAAATAAAAAACTGAAAAGTGGCACGTGATGTTATTCAGCCCCGTACGTTAACACTGCTGCAGTTACAGCTGTTTATCACTTTTGCACATTCTTGGACATTCTTCCATGAAAAACAGCTCGAGCACAGTGATAAGATAGAATTAGATAAAAGAGACTTTAGTGATTTCTCACAATGATAAATGTACCCGTCACATTTGGCACAGACAGAATCACACAGACGCAGAAACTCCCTCTGGCTCCTTCTGTGTCTTTATGAACCTCGAGGTCTCAAGAGACAAATATAAAAATACAAAATAATAGAAATTCTTCATTTTCAATTGACCAAAGTTAGAGCTGTTTATTAACATAGGACTCCCAGAGCCGTCATTTTGTCTGCTCCCTTCAAACCATTCGAAATGATGTTCAGTTTTCACCATATTTGAAAAACTTGTAAACCATATTTACAAGTTAGTAATTTATTTATATGATGTGAGAGAATTAAACTACTAAAGATAAGTCACGGTGTTATGAGGCCCAAAGAGGTACAAACTCTGTGCAGTTACGTTTTAAAGGAAAGGATAAGGAGCGTGTTGTTGATGAAATGGGACGCAGCCGAATAAAGAGCGTGTTGTTGATGAAATCGGACGCAGCCAGAGGGGGCACAGGAGGGGGCCATGGCGCGTGACGTCACTGTTGGTCTGTTTTCAAGATGGCGCTGGACACCGGGACGCTCGCGATCCACTGCGGGGTTTAACGGCTCTATGCGCGGGGAACAAACGGGAGAAGCACCGCACTGAGCACAGAGACCCACACGGACCCACACGGACCCACACGGACCATGCCAGCCCAGGACAGGGCCAGGTAACCCCGACCATGGGAGCCTCTTCCCCCGAGAGCTACTGCGACTCTCCGCCGGATGTCAGGCCCGCTCTGGAGGCTCGCTCCGCGGACTGAAGCGGCCATGGAAGCCCCGGGGAGGAGGGTGGATGTGACCGAGGAGAAGGCGGTGGTCAGCGGAGGAGAGGTCGCGGAGACCGGGCTGGATGGAAACACTCCAGCGGGGATGCCTCACGCTGGAGCCGGCCGCGCACACAGGTATAGGTCCTTCATTAGTCCCAGTGACAGTGTGGAAATGTCAGTGTTGCATCACCACAGAGCAACACATACATGAACAACAACAACAAGAAACATGATTCTGAAATACTAAAACAAAATAATATATACTCTAGAGCAGACGTATACAGTAGTATGTTTATATATACTCTAGAGCAGATGTATACAGTAGTATGTTTATATATACTCTAGAGCAGATGTATACAGTAGTATGTTTATATATACTCTAGAGCAGACGTATACAGTAGCATGTTTACATCTGTATATATACTCTAGAGCAGACGTATACAGTAGTATGTTACATCTGTATATATACTCTAGAGCAGACATATACAGTAGTATGTTTATATATACTCTAGAGCAGACGTATACAGTAGTATGTTTATATATACTCTAGAGCAGACATATACAGTAGTATGTTTATATATACTCTAGAGCAGACGTATACAGTAGTATGTTTATATATACTCTAGAGCAGACGTATACAGTAGCATGTTTACATCTGTATATATACTCTAGAGCAGACGTATACAGTAGTATGTTTACATCTGTATATATACTCTAGAGCAAACGTATACAGTAGTATGTTTATATATACTCTAGAGCAGACGTATACAGTAGTATGTTTATATATACTCTAGAGCAGATGTATACAGTAGTATGTTTATATATACTCTAGAGCAGACGTATACAGTAGTATGTTTATATATACTCTAGAGCAGACGTATACAGTAGCATGTTTACATCTGTATATATACTCTAGAGCAGACGTATACAGTAGTATGTTTACATCTGTATATATACTCTAGAGCAAACGTATACAGTAGTATGTTTATATATACTCTAGAGCAGACATATACAGTAGTATGTTTATATATACTCTAGAGCAGATGTATACAGTAGTATGTTTATATATACTCTAGAGCAGACGTATACAGTAGTATGTTTATATATACTCTAGAGCAGACGTATACAGTAGTATGTTTATATATACTCTAGAGCAGACGTATACAGTAGTATGTTTATATATACTCTAGAGCAGACGTATACAGTAGTATGTTTTATATATACTCTAGAGCAGACGTATACAGTAGTATGTTTATATATACTCTAGAGCAGACGTATACAGTAGTATGTTTACATCTGTATATATACTCTAGAGCAGATGTATACAGTAGTATGTTTATATATACTCTAGAGCAGACGTATACAGTAGTATGTTTATATATACTCTAGAGCAGATGTATACAGTAGTTTATGTTCTGTATATACTCTAGAGCAGACGTATACAGTAGTATGTTTACGTCTGTATATATACTCTAGAGCAGATGTATACAGTAGTATGTTTACATCTGTACTCTAGAGCAGACGTATACAGTAGTTTACGTTGTATATATACTCTAGAGCAGACGTATACAGTAGTATGTTTACATCTGTATATATACTCTAGAGCAGACGTATACAGTAGTATGTTTACATCTGTATATATACTCTAGAGCAGATGTATACAGTAGTATGTTTATATATACTCTAGAGCAGACGTATACAGTAGTATGTTTATATATACTCTAGAGCAGATGTATACAGTAGTATGTTTATATATACTCTAGAGCAGACGTATACAGTAGTATGTTTATATATACTCTAGAGCAGACGTATACAGTAGTATGTTTATATATACTCTAGAGCAGACGTATACAGTAGCATGTTTACATCTATATACTCTAGAGCAGACGTATACAGTAGTATGTTTACATCTTATATATACTCTAGAGCAGACGTATACAGTAGTATGTTTACATCTGTATATATACTCTAGAGCAAACGTATACAGTAGTATGTTTATATATATACTCTAGAGCAGACGTATACAGTAGCATGTTTACATCTGTATATATACTCTAGAGCAAACGTATACAGTAGCATGTTTACGTCTGTATATATACTCTAGAGCAGACGTATACAGTAGTATGTTTATATATACTCTAGAGCAGACGTATACAGTAGCATGTTTACATCTGTATACATACTCTAGAGCAGACGTATACAGTAGCATGTTTACATCTGTATATATACTCTAGAGTAGACGTATACAGTAGCATGTTTACATCTGTATATATACTCTAGAGTAGACGTATACAGTAGTATGTTTATATATACTCTAGAGCAGACGTATACAGTAGCATGTTTACGTCTGTATATATACTCTAGAGCAGACGTATACAGTAGTATGTTTATATATACTCTAGAGCAGACGTATACAGTAGCATGTTTACGTCTGTATATATACTCTAGAGTAGACGTATACAGTAGTATGTTTATATATACTCTAGAGCAGACGTATACAGTAGCATGTTTACGTCTGTATATATACTCTAGAGTAGACGTATACAGTAGTATGTTTATATATACTCTAGAGCAGACGTATACAGTAGTATGTTTACATCTGTATATATACTCTAGAGCAGACGTATACAGTAGTATGTTTATATATACTCTAGAGCAGACGTATACAGTAGCATGTTTACATCTGTATATATACTCTAGAGCAAACGTATACAGTAGCATGTTTACGTCTGTATATATACTCTAGAGCAGACGTATACAGTAGTATGTTTACATCTGTATATATACTCTAGAGCAGACGTATACAGTAGTATGTTTATATATACTCTAGAGCAGACGTATACAGTAGTATGTTTATATATACTCTAGAGCAGACGTATACAGTAGTATGTTTATATATACTCTAGAGCAGACGTATACAGTAGTATGTTTATATATACTCTAGAGCAGACGTATACAGTAGCATGTTTACATCTGTATACATACTCTAGAGCAGACGTATACAGTAGCATGTTTACATCTGTATATATACTCTAGAGTAGACGTATACAGTAGTATGTTTATATATACTCTAGAGCAGACGTATACAGTAGCATGTTTACATCTGTATATATACTCTAGAGCAGACGTATACAGTAGTATGTTTATATATACTCTAGAGCAGACGTATACAGTAGCATGTTTACATCTGTATATATACTCTAGAGCAGACGTATACAGTAGCATGTTTACATCTGTATATATACTCTAGAGCAGACGTATACAGTAGTATGTTTATATATACTCTAGAGCAGACGTATACAGTAGCATGTTTACATCTGTATATATACTCTAGAGCAGACGTATACAGTAGCATGTTTACATCTGTATATATACTCTAGAGTAGACGTATACAGTAGTATGTTTATATATACTCTAGAGCAGACGTATACAGTAGCATGTTTACATCTGTATATATACTCTAGAGCAGACGTATACAGTAGCATGTTTACATCTGTATATATACTCTAGAGCAGACGTATACAGTAGTATGTTTACATCTGTATATATACTCTAGAGCAGACGTATACAGTAGTATGTTTACGTCTGTATATATACTCTAGAGTAGACGTATACAGTAGTATGTTTATATATACTCTAGAGCAGACGTATACAGTAGCATGTTTACATCTGTATATATACTCTAGAGCAGACGTATACAGTAGCATGTTTACATCTGTATATATACTCTAGAGCAGACGTATACAGTAGTATGTTTACGTCTGTATATATACTCTAGAGCAGACGTATACAGTAGTATGTTTACGTCTGTATATATACTCTAGAGCAGACGTATACAGTAGCATGTTTACATCTGTATATATACTCTAGAGCAGACGTATACAGTAGTATGTTTACGTCTGTATATATACTCTAGAGAAGACGTATACAGTAGCATGTTTACATCTGTATATATACTCTAGAGCAGACGTATACAGTAGTATGTTTATATATACTCTAGAGCAGACGTATACAGTAGTATGTTTACGTCTGTATATATACTCTAGAGCAGACGTATACAGTAGCATGTTTACGTCTGTATATATACTCTAGAGCAGACGTATACAGTAGTATGTTTACGTCTGTATATATACTCTAGAGCAGACGTATACAGTACATTGTGACATGATGCTGTTGGTGAAGAAGTAGAATCACAGTTTGTTAAGGTTTGTATGAGGCTTATTCCAAACTTAATAAGATTACATTAAAAATAACATTAATCTGTTATAATCTGAGTGACGCTGCTGTGTTTCAATCCTAAAGATTAGAGCTTGTTCTATTCTGTGTTTTTCTGTCTTGAACACTTAGATGTCAGAGTTTGTGATGACACAGCACTGAGCACAGAGAAGTGAAACTTTTCTTATAGATTGTGAAATCGATGGATTTGTCTTGATTATTCTTGATCTGTCTCTGTTGTTCTACTGTAAAACATTGAATTCAATTTCAAAACTTGAGGCCTTTTAAGTGGTCCAAGAATCCATGTTAGAACCAGAACTACAACTTTCATGATGTTATAACAGTTATTGGTGTCAAGTGAAAGCACTCCTACCTTTAGGAGTCATTTCAAAGTGTGGCGCACACACATGTGATCTAGTTTAGCTGAATATGAATATATAAACGGACGTGGATCGGAGTTGGCAACACGGGCTATGCAATATGGGTCAGTGCAATATGGGTCAGTGCAATATGGGTCAGTGCAATATGGGTCAGTGCAATATGGGTCAGTGCAATATGGGTCAGTGTAATATGGGTCAGTGCAATATGGGTCAGTGCAATATGGGTCAGTGTAATATGGGTCAGTGCAATATGGGTCAGTGCAATATGGGTCAGTGCAATATGGGTCAGTGTAATATGGGTCAGTGTAATATGGGTCAGTGTAATATGGGTCAGTGCAATATGGGTCAGTGTAATATGGGTCAGTGCAATATGGGTCAGTGTAATATGGGTCAGTGTAATATGGGTCAGTGTAATATGGGTCAGTGCAATATGGGTCAGTGCAATATGGGTCAGTGCAATATGGGTCAGTGTAGGGCTGGGCGATAAAACGATAACGATATATATTGCGATAGACACGTGTTCGATATCAATAGAAAACAGGGTCGATAGAACTTCGATAGTTTCACTTCAGTATGTTCGAAAAAAAACAGGAACAAAACACAGGAAGTAAAGCCGAGTCAGAAGCGCACAGCATTCTGGGGGATGTAGGCAAAGGCTTCTCGACCTATCACAGCCGACTAAAAACCGTAAAACTTTCTGGGAAAAGCAAAAAACCAAGCGCACCATGCGTAGCGTCCATGGATCATGGATCTATTATAATAGCCATGGATCTAAAGGCCGTGTTTCAGGCCGTGTCAAAGGTTAAACACGTCTGTGCGAGGAACAGCATGTGCGGCAGGAGGCAGTGGGGATAGAGACTACATGCATTCGGCAAAAACAAGAGATTAACTTTACGGAGCCGTCACAGGGACACAAGAGTGACAAGACACTCAAACAGCCAAAACAGGAGCTAAACCAGGACTAAACCAGGACTAAACCAGGACTAAACCAGGACTAAACCAGGACTATACCAGGACTATACCAGGACTATACCAGGACTAAACCAGGACTAAACCAGGACTAAACCAGGACTAAACCAGGACTATACCAGGACTATACCAGGACTATACCAGGACTATACCAGGACTATACCAGGACTATACCAGGACTATACCAGGACTAAACCAGGACTAAACCAGGACTAAACCAGGACTAAACCAGGACTAAACCAGGACTATACCAGGACTATACCAGGACTAAACCAGGACTAAACCAGGACTAAACCAGGACTAAACCAGGACTAAACCAGGACTAAACCAGGACTAAACCAGGACTAAACCAGGACTAAACCAGGACTAAACCAGGACTAAACCAAGACTAAACCAAGACTAAACCAGGACTAAACCAGGACTAAACCAGGACTAAACCAGGACTAAACCAGGACTATACCAGGACTATACCAGGACTATACCAGGACTATACCAGGACTATACCAGGACTATACCAGGACTATACCAGGACTATACCAGGACTATACCAGGACTATACCAGGACTATACCAGGACTAAAGTGGGGGAGACTGCTTGTGAACTTTTGTAATCAAGCTACAAGCTGCTAACATGTGTTAGCCGACACAACAAATGTATTTATTTACGTTTTTAAAAACAATCAATATATATTGTTATCGACCGATATGAATTATTTATATTGTGATAGTTTTCAGCCATATCGCCCAGCCCTAGGTCAGTGCAATATGGGTCTGTGGTGTGCAATATGGGTCAGTGCAATATGGGTCTGTGCAATATAGAATGGTGCAATAAAGTCAAAATGTTTCCGTGGCTGTTTTCCACATTGTCCTTTGTGGTCCTCATGTTGTTTGTTCTGACATGATGCGGTCACTGTTCTCGTCCTTGTCTCTCTGTGTACTGTAAACAGTGTGTCAGTGTTTTTACTGACTGGCCCAGGGTCTGCAGATGGACATTAGTCTAAGACTATGTTCTGGCATATTTACACCGGGAAAATATTCATTAATATGAACTGTTTCTCTTTTCTCTCATAAATAAATAAAAAACCACATTTCTGTGGTTAGAAAATTCACTTCTGAATCCAGTCCAGAGCTAATTTTAAACAAAAGGGCAGTTCCTCTACTTTATTAATATTTAGATCCTTGTCCCACAGCAGGGAAATGTCAGTGTTGCATCAACAGTTACAGTAAGACTGAGTGAACAATAAGTCTGTACTAAAATACAATCCATAACTTTAGCATAATAAAGTTTATCTTGTAAGTGTTGTGCTGTGAAAAAGCAAAGTCCTCTCCAGCCGTTGTTCTTTGTGTCTTGTGATAATTCCTCCTGTGGAAGTCCAGTCTTTGAACATAACGACACACATTGACCTTCTCTGTGTGTTTCTCTCAGAGACGACGTCATGCTGGACCTGGACAAACATCTGCCTCAGCAGCTCACGGCAAGCTGCGTCCTCTCTGACCCCCGCACTGACCACACGCGCTTCAACGGCTTCTTGGAGTCTCCGGGCGGTGAGGAGGAGGAGGAGGTGGAGAAGGAGATGAAGGAGATGAAGGAGGAGGAGGAGGAGGAGGAGGAGGAGGAGGTGCAGGAGGTGCAGGAGGAGGTGGAAGAAGGACTGAGCACGGATGCCTTTCGCTTCACAGACCCCTCGGACCCAGACTTGGACGATATAATCGGGGAGATCTGGGACACTCATGTGGACGTGGACTCTTTCCCGCCTTTACCCAACGGAGACCTGGGCGACTGTGTGCAGACAGAAGTGGCGTGGAAGTCCTGCCACGTCGCCAAAATTCCCAATGGCGGTTTGCACATTTTACAAACTGGTGATTTAAGTCAAAGGGATTTCCCGGCGTTGACAGAACTGACCTCCGATCGCGGCGATGCGTCTCTGGCCCCGGCGTCCTGCCCCACTCCGGACAGCGCCATCTCTGAGGAGGACGAGGATATCAGCGAGCTCAGTCTGCCGCTGCGACCGCGGACACTGAGGACTAACCTGCCTCTGGGCGGGTCTCTGAGCTGCGACGCCACGCCGCTGTCCCCCGACGAGGAGGCGGCCGGATTCTACTACGGCGAGGAAGGCTACGGCAGCGAGGACCTGCGCCACGCTCTGGAGGGGCGCAGGCAGAGCGCTCCTGAGCAGCTGCAGGAGCTCAGGGCACAGGGAGACGGACAGCAGCTGCTGCCAAAGAGGTTCGGGATCGCCCACTTCTTCACCAGGTGAGATCACAGCTTTTACACCAGAAACATGAACATTTTATTTAGATTTTTTTATTGAACGTGTTACGCACAAGACGACTGTAAAGTGAAAGCAAAATGACACATGATTCTGTTATTATTTTAAAATAGAAAAGCCTGCTCAGTATTCACACGGCTGACTTTTGGCCCAAACACATCGTTCTGTTTGACGCAAACGAAGGCTGAGCGATGTGCTGTACGCACGGAGAGGCGTGATGTCATTTCCTGTAAACTTAGAATGACGCTCTGGCCTGTGGTGAGCTGTAGTGAAATTGTTTAGTAATTAGATGGATAGTGTGATGCTGCTTTCTCTCTGAGGAATAGCTTTGACTTTGGCGACTCAAAGAGATGAAACTTTATTAAAGCACAATGACAGCACAACGACAGAGCAGTGCCCCACAATGCACTGCATCCTCAAAGTTGAATTCCGAGTCGGTGGAAGCCGCTCTCTCTCCGTAGTGAACAGTCGCAGGAGTTTGTGTATGGCAATAATGCCTCTACTCTGTATCTGTGTTTTGTTTTTAGCTGCGTTCAAAGTTTACATTCTCTGGTATAAAGCCACATTGTTTACCGCTGCTAGCTAAGCAAACATCGCCCACGTGAGGGGAGGCGGGGCCAGCGCAGAGCAACGAGCAAATATCTATATAACATAAATATCTATCTCCCAGCCCTAATGCAAACATAACACTGCTCACCGTATCATCTCTAGTGTCACTTGGTGGGGGGTAGCATCATGCTATGGGGCTGCTTTTCTTCAGTGGGGACTGGGAATGAATGTAAGAAGAGCTGGGAATGGAGGGAGCCAAATACATTATTGTTGCTTTCACTTCACAATAAAGATAAGATAAACTTTTGATCTCACAATGGAGACATTTAGAAATGTGTGTGTGTGTGTGTGTGTGTGTGTGTGTGTGTGTATTGTATGTATATGTGTGTGTGTGGTTAAAACTAATATTTGGATATTAAATCTACTGAGACTCAGATATATATGGACTGGACCTGTCTCTGGACCTGTCTCTGGCCTGGTTGTGGTTTAGCCTCAGACTAAAGCCTGAGACCGGGTCTGGATTCATTGCAGAGTGTAGCCTGTGATGCTAAAGGCCTGTGCCACGTCCTTATTGTCTGTTGAAGCGATCAGAGCACAGGACTCTTCTCTCTCCAAACCCCGCTCTGAGGCCGGGGGAGTTTCCGCTCTCATTTAAAACAGTTCCAAGTTTCCCACTGAAGCACCATTCTGCAGTTTTGTCAGCTGTGATCCTTTTGGCTTCATCATTTTGATTGTTTAAATGTGTAGATGTTTAACCACATGACACAGGTGCAGTGTGGGTAACTCCCTTTAAAGATGAATTTACAGCCTTTGAGTGCGACAGGAATGTGCTAATGTGTGTGTGCAGCATTCTCACAGGTCGAGGATCATTAGAGCTCTTCAAACTCTTCAGAGACAGAGTTTAGTCTGACTTTAGTTGAAGTGTCCTGCACAGGTCAGGGTTAGGGACGGATGAGGCTGAAGCTACAAACACAAACATGAATCTACACAGGACACTGTCTGTCTCCTCTTCAGGACACTGTCTGTCTCCTCTTCAGGACACTGTCTGTCTCCTCTTCAGGACACTGTCTGTCTCCTTTTCAGGACACTGTCTGTCTCCTTTTCAGGACACTGTCTGTCTCCTCTTCAGGACACTGTCTGTCTCCTCTTCAGGACACTGTCTGTCTCCTCTTCAGGACACTGTCTGTCTCCTCTTCAGGACACTGTCTGTCTCCTCTTCAGGACACTGTCTGTCTCCTTTTCAGGACACTGTCTGTCTCCTTTTCAGGACACTGTCTGTCTCCTCTTCAGGACACTGTCTGTCTCTTCAGGACACTGTCTGTCTCTTCAGGACACTGTCTGTCTCCTCTTCAGGACACTGTCTGTCTCCTTTTCAGGACACTGTCTGTCTCCTTTTCAGGACACTGTCTGTCTCCTCTTCAGGACACTGTCTGTCTCCTCTTCAGGACACTGTCTGTCTCCTCTTCAGGACACTGTCTGTCTCCTCTTCAGGACACTGTCTGTCTCCTCTTCAGGACACTGTCTGTCTCCTCTTCAGGACACTGTCTGTCTCCTCTTCAGGACACTGTCTGTCTCCTCTTCAGGACACTGTCTGTCTCCTCTTCAGGACACTGTCTGTCTCCTCTTCAGGACACTGTCTGTCTCCTCTTCAGGACACTGTCTGTCTCCTCTTCAGGACACTGTCTGTCTCCTTTTCAGGACACTGTCTGTCTCCTTTTCAGGACACTGTCTGTCTCCTCTTCAGGACACTGTCTGTCTCCTCTTCAGGACACTGTCTGTCTCTTCAGGACACTGTCTGTCTCCTTTTCAGGACACTGTCTGTCTCCTTTTCAGGACACTGTCTGTCTCCTCTTCAGGACACTGTCTGTCTCCTCTTCAGGACACTGTCTGTCTCCTCTTCAGGACACTGTCTGTCTCCTCTTCAGGACACTGTCTGTCTCCTCTTCAGGACACTGTCTGTCTCCTCTTCAGGACACTGTCTGTCTCCTCTTCAGGACACTGTCTGTCTCCTCTTCAGGACACTGTCTGTCTCCTTTTCAGGACACTGTCTGTCTCCTTTTCAGGACACTGTCTGTCTCCTCTTCAGGACACTGTCTGTCTCCTCTTCAGGACACTGTCTGTCTCCTCTTCAGGACACTGTCTGTCTCCTCTTCAGGACACTGTAAAGTTCATGGTAAAACATCCAGATCATAATCCCAGCCTCAGGACAAAGAACGATACAGAAATGGCTCCAGTGACGTAGATTCTGAACTCGCTGCTGAAATATATTGTTCTGTGTCTTCAGTGACGAGGTCCTGCGGTGAAATCCAATCATTCTGATTCATCCTTTTCAGGAGTGTCAACATTATTATTTATACATGTTTCTTAATGTCAGAAGTTTTAAAAATGTTTTTTAATCAAATATGTTTTTGTTGGTTGAAATAATCCCCGTCATCAAACGGTTGTGAGAGTCTCATGTTTCTTCATGTTTTACTTAGAAATGTTTGGAACATGAGATTTTAGCCAAACTTCTGTTTGTTGTGAAGAGAATGGGCCTTGGTCCTAAATACATGATAACTGCACTGGTGCTTTCTGTCCCTGCTCTGTCCCTGCTCTGTCCCTGCTCTGTCCCTGCTCTGTCCCTGCTCTGATCCTGCTCTGATCCTGCTCTGATCCTGCTCTGATCCTGCTCTGATCCTGCTCTGTCCCTGCTCTGTCCCTGCTCTGATTCGGCTCTGATTCTGCTCTGATCCTGCTCTGATCCTGCTCTGATCCTGCTCTGATCCTGCTCTGATCCTGCTCTGATCCTGCTCTGTCCCTGCTCTGTCCCTGCTCTGATTCGGCTCTGATTCTGCTCTGATCCTGCTCTGATCCTGCTCTGATCCTGCTCTGATCCTGCTCTGATCCTGCTCTGATCCTGCTCTGATTCTGCTCTGATCCTGCTCTGTCCCTGCTCTGTCCCTGCTCTGATTCTGCTCTGTCCCTGCTCTGATTCTGCTCTGTCCCTGCTCTGATTCTGCTCTGATCCTGCTCTGATTCTGCTCAGCGTATGTCCTCATCTTTGTGCCCCAGTTTGGGCCGAGGAGGCAGGAGCTGCACTGACCCACGTGTGTCCTTCTGTAGTGAGGACCTGGATCCATGGTCACTTCTGTAGAGACGCTCACAGCAGAGTGGAATGGACCTCTGGAGTGGAAATCGGGACTTTCACTTTCACTTCAAGTCAATGTTTTTTTCTATTGTCCTAAATCCCAACAGCAGTTCTCTCAGAGGACTTTAACAAGCTGTTGATTCTCCAACACAGATCAGAGAATCAATGAAATGCAACCAAAACAAACGCATTGATCATCTGCCCTGTAGACCCAGGACTAAGGCTGTAGACCCAGGACTGAGGCTGTAGACCCAGGACTGAGGCTGTAGACCCAGGACTGAGGCTGTAGACCCAGGACTGAGGCTGTAGACCCAGGACTGAGGCTGTAGACCCAGGACTGAGGCTGTAGACCCAGGACTGAGGCTGTAGACCCAGGACTGAGGCTGTAGACCCAGGACTGAGGCTGTAGACCCAGGACTGAGGCTGTAGACCCAGGACTGAGGCTGTAGACCCAGGACTGAGGCTGTAGACCCAGGACTGAGGCTGTAGACCCAGGACTGAGGCTGCAGACCCAGGACTGAGGCTGCAGACCCAGGACTGAGGCTGCAGACCCAGGACTGAGGCTGCAGACCCAGGACTGAGGCTGCAGACCCAGGACTGAGGCTGTAGACCCAGGACTGAGGCTGCAGACCCAGGACTGAGGCTGCAGACCCAGGACTGAGGCTGCAGACCCAGGACTGAGGCTGCAGACCCAGGACTGAGGCTGCAGACCCAGGACCCAGACTGAGACTGCAGACCCAGGACTGAGGCTGCAGACCCAGGACTGAGGCTGTAGACCCAGGACTGAGGCTGCAGACCCAGGACCCAGACTGAGGCTGCAGACCCAGGACTGAGGCTGCAGACCCAGGACTGAGGCTGCAGACCCAGGACTGAGGCTGCAGACCCAGGACTGAGGCTGCAGACCCAGGACCCAGACTGAGGCTGCAGACCCAGGACTGAGGCTGCAGACCCAGGACTGAGGCTGTAGACCCAGGACTGAGGCTGCAGACCCAGGACCCAGACTGAGGCTGCAGACCCAGGACTGAGGCTGCAGACCCAGGACTGAGGCTGCAGACCCAGGACTAAGGCTGTAGACCCAGGACCCAGACTGAGGCTGCAGACCCAGGACTGAGGCTGCAGACCCAGGACTGAGGCTGCAGACCCAGGACCCAGACTGAGGCTGCAGACCCAGGACTGAGGCTGTAGACCCAGGACTGAGGCTGCAGACCCAGGACTGAGGCTGCAGACCCAGGACTGAGGCTGCAGACCCAGGACTGAGGCTGCAGACCCAGGACCCAGACTGAGGCTGCAGACCCAGGACCCAGACTGAGGCTGCAGACCCAGGACTGAGGCTGTAGACCCAGGACTGAGGCTGCAGACCCAGGACTGAGGCTGCAGACCCAGGACCCAGACTGAGGCTGCAGACCCGGGACCCAGACTGAGGCTGCAGACCCGGGACCCAGACTGAGGCTGCAGACCCAGGACCCAGACTGAGGCTGCAGACCCAGGACCCAGACTGAGGCTGCAGACCCAGGACCCAGACTGAGGCTGCAGACCCAGGACCCAGACTGAGGCTGCAGACCCAGGACCCAGACTGAGGCTGCAGACCCAGGACCCAGACTGAGGCTGCAGACCCAGGACTGAGGCTGCAGACCCAGGACCCAGACTGAGGCTGCAGACCCAGGACCCAGACTGAGGCTGCAGACCCAGGACTGAGGCTGCAGACCCAGGACTGAGGCTGCAGACCCAGGACTGAGGCTGTAGACCCAGGACTGAGGCTGCAGACCCAGGACCCAGATTGAGGCTGCAGACCCAGGACTGAGGCTGCAGACCCAGGACTGAGGCTGCAGACCCAGGACTGAGGCTGCAGACCCAGGACTGAGGCTGCAGACCCAGGACTAAGGTTGTAGACCCAGGACTAAGGCTGCAGACCCAGGACCCAGACTGAGGCTGCAGACCCAGGACTGAGGCTGCAGACCCAGGACTGAGGCTGCAGACCCAGGACTGAGGCTGCAGACCCAGGACTGAGGCTGCAGACCCAGGACTGAGGCTGCAGACCCAGGACTGAGGCTGCAGACCCAGGACTGAGGCTGCAGACCCAGGACTGAGGCTGCAGACCCAGGACTAAGGCTGTAGACCCAGGACTAAGGCTGCAGACCCAGGACCCAGACTGAGGCTGCAGACCCAGGACTGAGGCTGCAGACCCAGGACTGAGGAGGCTGCAGACCCAGGACCCAGACTGAGGCTGCAGACCCAGGACTGAGGTTGTAGACCCAGGACTGAGGCTGCAGACCCAGGACTGAGGCTGCAGACCCAGGACTGAGGCTGCAGACCCAGGACCCAGACTGAGGCTGCAGACCCAGGACCCAGACTGAGGCTGCAGACCCAGGACTGAGGCTGCAGACCCAGGACCCAGACTGAGGCTGCAGACCCCCCCCCCCCCCCCCCCCCCCCCCCCCCCCCCCCCCCCCCCCCCCCCCCCCCCCCCCCCCCCCCCCCCCCCCCCCCCCCCCCCCCCCCCCCCCCCCCCCCCCCCCCCCCCCCCCCCCCCCCCCCCCCCCCCCCCCCCCCCCCCCCCCCCCCCCCCCCCCCCCCCCCCCCCCCCCCCCCCCCCCCCCCCCCCCCCCCCCCCCCCCCCCCCCCCCCCCCCCCCCCCCCCCCCCCCCCCCCCCCCCCCCCCCCCCCCCCCCCCCCCCCCCCCCCCCCCCCCCCCCCCCCCCCCCCCCCCCCCCCCCCCCCCCCCCCCCCCCCCCCCCCCCCCCCCCCCCCCCCCCCCCCCCCCCCCCCCCCCCCCCCCCCCCCCCCCCCCCCCCCCCCCCCCCCCCCCCCCCCCCCCCCCCCCCCCCCCCCCCCCCCCCCCCCCCCCCCCCCCCCCCCCCCCCCCCCCCCCCCCCCCCCCCCCCCCCCCCCCCCCCCCCCCCCCCCCCCCCCCCCCCCCCCCCCCCCCCCCCCCCCCCCCCCCCCCCCCCCCCCCCCCCCCCCCCCCCCCCCCCCCCCCCCCCCCCCCCCCCCCCCCCCCCCCCCCCCCCCCCCCCCCCCCCCCCCCCCCCCCCCCCCCCCCCCCCCCCCCCCCCCCCCACCCCCCCCCCCCCCCCCCCCCCCCCCCCCCCCCCCCCCCCCCCCCCCCCCCCCCCCCCCCCCCCCCCCCCCCCCCCCCCCCCCCCCCCCCCCCCCCCCCCCCCCCCCCCCCCCCCCCCCCCCCCCCCCCCCCCCCCCCCCCCCCCCCCCCCCCCCCCCCCCCCCCCCCCCCCCCCCCCCCCCCCCCCCCCCCCCCCCCCCCCCCCCCCCCCCCCCCCCCCCCCCCCCCCCCCCCCCCCCCCCCCCCCCCCCCCCCCCCCCCCCCCCCCCCCCCCCCCCCCCCCCCCCCCCCCCCCCCCCCCCCCCCCCCCCCCCCCCCCCCCCCCCCCCCCCCCCCCCCCCCCCCCCCCCCCCCCCCCCCCCCCCCCCCCCCCCCCCCCCCCCCCCCCCCCCCCCCCCCCCCCCCCCCCCCCCCCCCCCCCCCCCCCCCCCCCCCCCCCCCCCCCCCCCCCCCCCCCCCCCCCCCCCCCCCCCCCCCCCCCCCCCCCCCCCCCCCCCCCCCCCCCCCCCCCCCCCCCCCCCCCCCCCCCCCCCCCCCCCCCCCCCCCCCCCCCCCCCCCCCCCCCCCCCCCCCCCCCCCCCCCCCCCCCCCCCCCCCCCCCCCCCCCCCCCCCCCCCCCCCCCCCCCCCCCCCCCCCCCCCCCCCCCCCCCCCCCCCCCCCCCCCCCCCCCCCCCCCCCCCCCCCCCCCCCCCCCCCCCCCCCCCCCCCCCCCCCCCCCCCCCCCCCCCCCCCCCCCCCCCCCCCCCCCCCCCCCCCCCCCCCCCCCCCCCCCCCCCCCCCCCCCCCCCCCCCCCCCCCCCCCCCCCCCCCCCCCCCCCCCCCCCCCCCCCCCCCCCCCCCCCCCCCCCCCCCCCCCCCCCCCCCCCCCCCCCCCCCCCCCCCCCCCCCCCCCCCCCCCCCCCCCCCCCCCCCCCCCCCCCCCCCCCCCCCCCCCCCCCCCCCCCCCCCCCCCCCCCCCCCCCCCCCCCCCCCCCCCCCCCCCCCCCCCCCCCCCCCCCCCCCCCCCCCCCCCCCCCCCCCCCCCCCCCCCCCCCCCCCCCCCCCCCCCCACCCGCCTCCCCCCGCCCTCACCCGCCTCCCCCCGCCCTCACCCGCCTCCCCCCGCCCTCACCCGCCTCCCCCCGCTCTCACCTGCCTCCCCCCGCCCTCACCCGCCTCTCACCTGCCTCCCCACGCCTCTCACCCGCCTCTCACCTGCCTCCCCACGCTCTCTCACCCGCCTCCCCCCGCCCTCACCGCCTCCCCCGCTCTCACCTGCCTCCCCCGCCCTCACCTGCCTTCCCCTGCCTCCCCCCGCCCTCACCGCCTCCCCCCGCCCTCACCCGCCTCCCCCCGCTCTCACCTGCCTCCCCCCCGCCCTCACCGCCTCCCCCCGCTCTCACCGCCTCCCCCCGCTCTACCTGCCTCCCCCCGCCTCTCACCCGCCTCCCCCCGCCCTCACCCGCCTCCCCCGCTCTCACCGCCTCCCCCCGCCCTCACCCGCCTCCCCCGCCCTCACCCGCCTCACGGTGACGTAGCATCACGCTCTTAGTCGAGCCGCTTTCTTCCTCTTCGGGCCAAATAGTGCGTCACATATTTACACCAAACACATTTTATGGTTGACGTTTATGAAGTTGATCCTCACACTTTTAGTCGCTGACAAAAGCAGAAAAACTGTAGCTCCAAACCACAGACATGCACTAGACCGACTGCACGCTGTGATTCGCTGTTTCAATCTGTCAATCACCTACCGGCTTTTACTATTATTAGTATTTTTGCCAACAAACATCATACTTACTGTGTATTGTTTACCCTGTTTTGACAAAAGTATTTAAAAACCATTTTAAATACAGATTAAACTGGCTTCTGTGCGTCATATTGGTCATCAGAGTGGTTATGGTCACAGATGTGGACCCGAGCGTTTCACTGCCTCTCGAGGGGAAGGAGAAAGATCGCTCTAAAGCTTGAAAGAATCAGAGAAAAAAAGACTCTGGGCAAACAGTGTGTATAGAGAAATAGCTGTAATCATGTTTAAAGCAGAGAAAAGTCAAAAAGCGTGATATGTGCCCTTTAATGTTTAACCGTACATTGTCCTTGTTCAAATGACGTACATACTAGAAATTAAATCTACCCATCTAATTTGCATATTATGACTTCTTATGGTGGTGGCGGACATAAACACACACAAACAGAACTCACACTGCACCACACTTAAACAGTATCGTAAGTCAACCGTGGCGCCTCGAGGGTTAACTTAAGAACTCAAAAATATTCCTTTTGACTCCATATCAAGCAGTACAACAGTCACAATTCTTTCTTTTTTCTGCTTTTTTCCTGGATGTGTAAATCAGATGCAGATAACGGTGTTGTTGTGCACACAGAAGGTAAAGGCCCTCAGCCAGGTAGAGGTCGTACTGCTGACCCCCATTTGAATCTCGCCATCTCGCTCCTCCGATGTCCTTGTGTTACGGGGGGATTTAGCACTGGAGCGGAAATGTGTTCAGACACGGGCTACCCCACTCAGGGTTGGTGGGCGCGGAGCTGCAGAGGACGTCCGTTACCTGCAGCATCCTGGACGTCTGAGCGCACTGCACGGACATGTTTACCTTCCTCTGTGGACCGCTGGCCTCGAGGAGCAGCCAGGCATTTGAGTTCATGTGTTTGTTTGTTTTAAAGGGGGAGGAGGAGAAGGAAAGTCTGTGTTGGTTTAGCATTTAGCATTAAGTGCAAAGGTAGTTTAGCCTTTAGCCTCTTGACCATTTCTGCATGAAATATGTTTTTCTACATTAAACCCAGACACAAACCAGTCTTTTCAAAGTGTTTGAGGTTATCCTTTAGGGAGCCGCGGGTGTTCCTGAGATGCTATGTCTTTTAGCATTTAGCATTTAGCATTAAGTGCAAAGGTAGTTTAGCCTTTAGCCTCTTGACCATTTCTACATTAAACCCGTTTTTCTACATTAAACCCGGACACAAACCAGTCTCGAAAACCTTTTCAAAGTGTCTTAGGTTATCCTTTAGGTAGCCGCGGGTGTCCCTGAGATACTACATGTCAATAGCATTTAGATTTAGATTTTAGCATTTCGCATTTAGCATTAGGTGCAAAGGTAGTTTAGCCTTTAACCTCTTTACCATTACATTTCAAAATGCTTTTCTGCATTAAACCCGGACACAAACCAGTCTCAAAAACCTTTTTCAAGTGTCTGAAGTTATCCTGAGTTAGTGTATGTTTTTTATTTTCCTGAATGGTTTTGATTTTTGGTTCATATTTAGTATTAGGTCTAGTTTGTGTCTGCAATTTGAGAGTGATGTAAGAAAAACCTGGAGATTGTAAGATTTTCTGTCTCTGCCCAAAGCACTTTTCACTTTATGTGCATTTCTTTCTCCGTCTTTTTCTGCATCTACATTTTATGGCAGCACATTGTTTTATAATTTATTTTTATTTATTTAGAGGATTAGCCCCTTGAGATGAATCTTCACAATTTACAAGGTGACAATACAACAAAATAGACACACACACACACACACACACGCACACGGGCTCTCTCTCACACACTCACTCACACACTCTCACACGCTCTCTCTCACACACACACACACGCTCTCTCTCACTCACACACTCTCACACGCTCTCTCTCACACACACACACACACACACGCTCTCTCTCACTCACACACACACGCTCTCTCTCACACACACACGCTCTCTCTCACACACACACACACGCTCTCTCTCACTCACACACACACGCTCTCTCTCACACACACACACACGCTCTCTCTCTCACACACGCTCTCTCTCACTCACACACACACGCTCTCTCTCACACACACACACACACACACACATACACGTTTTTGTTACCTGGTGGGTCCCTTTGACAGGGCCGTTCAGAATGGGACCCATAGACATAATCTTTTTTTACCAAGACTTTAAGTAATACAAAACAGTCAATAGAAACCAAACAACTATTTTAAAGGAATTTTATTTTAGATTTTGTTTTCGAATTGCAGTGATTCTATTTTTGACATAGAATTTAATGCCACTCCATGTCCGATGTCTAAGGTCATCTGGTGAGGCATTAATGCAGGCCAGGCAGTGAGACTTCCCAGGGACCTTTCCAGTCTGTATGAAAGGTGTCATGGTCTTCTCCACAGCCTTCACCTCAGATGCAGACCATGGCTTTCTTACACGTTCTAGGGAGAGAAATAAAAATATATTAGCAATATACACTCCCAGGGTTAGGACCAAGCAGCCTGGCTGTAATCCCCCACCTGGTACACTTACCAGAAGGGGCACTGCCACTACCATGGGGTGCATCTGGATGAATGGTTGAAGGTTCTCCGCTTGAAGTTTCTTTTAGCCCGTCCGTTTGTGAGAGGATCTCTACTGCTCTCCCTGTCGCACAGAAAATAAAAATACAAGTGGCCTTTAGGGGAAAAAAATCATACATATTTTAATAATATCAAGAATTACCTTCAGGCTCAATTTGTATCTGGTCGAGGCTCTTTCCTTCGAATTCCGTCACTCTTCCCTGCTCCATGGCCATCAACACTTTGCTGATTTTGGCCAGCTCCAGTGTCCCCTCTGGTAGTCTGTAATATTGCCTGTGGATGCGAATGTCATGGCCGAGGAAGTTGGCAAGTATGTCCATCTCATTCTCTTTCATATTGAGAACTGTAGACATAGTAGCTATGTGCTTTCTAAGTTTGGTTGAGGATAGCATCTCTGGATGCACCGCACCACATTCTTTGGCTACCTGGCGTAGGGAGTCTGATCCCCTGATGTGGGTGTCTGCGCCCGGGCGGGAAAAGAAGTATGGGTTATGGTCAGAGATGGAACAGGCCCTTCTGTTCTCCACCAGCACCTCCATCGAAGCAATCATTTCAGGAGTCAAAAGAACCGGCACTTTCCGACTTCTTTTCCCTTTAATTTCAATGCGTTGAAAATGCTGACACAGCTTTTTCTCAAGTTGGGACAGTCCCAGAGCAATGTCAGAATGGATCCCAGTCTTACTTCTTAAGGTAAAGGCTGTCAGTGGCATCTTTGAAACCTCACCTTCCCTTCTTCGATTGAAAATGATGACCTCACAAAGAGTCAAAACTGCCAGTTTAGACCAATGCTTAGACGTTGGCTCACTTATTAGGGTTTGCACATATTCAGGTCGACATACCTCAATATGTGCATGCATGGCTCTAACGTCCTCAGTCAGAGGGAGCAGGTCCGGAGTGTTCCACTTGGCTTGCCGGAGGGTCTGTAGGGCAGCAGAAGAAACACAGACGTCCCACCTCTTCTCAAAAAGCAGCCGGCTTCGTTGGAGGTTTTTAATAAATAGTTCATCAACACAATGCTCCATTTTTGAGTCACATTCAAGAATATCTGCTAGCTTTCTGAGGCTATGGCCGAGTTTGAGGGCCAAGGATGGAGTCTTGTATTGATTTGTTTCCTCATCATATCCAGCCACAGACCTGACTGCATCAATCACATGGTTAAAGTTGGAAGGAATAAAGAAATCCTTAATTGTTTTCAGTTTCCCTGCGGTTTTTGCTTCGTTAATTAACCTACCGACTTCTCTCATTTTCTGCCTAATGTAATCATGCTTTGTCTTATCATGCCCGTGTTTTAAGTACAGGTGCTCTCCGAGTCTCAGAATCCCCTTTTCTGCTTTGACAACACCCGTGACCTCATCCTGATGCATTGCCGAAATTAAAGACCACAGCTTTTTGCTGATGCCCTCCGGTACAGGCTGGGCTAGGGAGCAGAGGGACTGGACCCTACTTCTACCTGGTTTAGCCTGGGCATCTTTCTGTGAAAGCCGGCACCTGGCCACATGCCTCCACAGCGACTTTCGCTTAAGCAATGCCCCACAGTCTATACAGTGCAAAAACTCACTGGATTTAACTGGGCAATTTGGCTGTTTAGCTGGGACTAAAGTTCCAATGCCGGCCTTTAAAACCTCAAAATTGTGCTCACGGTTTCCACTATTCCTGATCAAATCAAACTGAAGTTTACGTGCTTTAGATTTCACAGGTAGAGCCAATGCTCTGGCTACGTCACTTTCATTTCCATGTTTTCTAGTCAAATGACGGGACATTTTGTGGCAGGACATTGAACAGTAGAGGCAGAAGTGTCTCTTGCTGTATACTCGCCCCCCATTTTTCTTCTTTTGCAGCTGCATGATAACAATCTTATTTGCCTTTGGTTCGTCACTTTCCGAGTCTTGAAGAAAAGTGTTTTTGATTTTTCTTTTTCCATACTTTTTTACAGGTTTCTTCTTGACAGTTAAATCGTCAGAATCTGAGTCGACTTCATCAATTAGGGACTCTTGACTAAGCTGCACAAACAACAAATAATTTGTAATCATTCTATATAACAATTTGAAGTCATGACTTGTAGTCAGCACTTACCAGTGGTTTGTAAGCGTGCGCTTCAGTGTGCTCCTCCATGATTTCTTGCAGCCTAATGAACCACACACTTGCACCTTTTTCTAGCCTGAACCTGATTTCCTCTGTTGTGCTGCTCCATGATTGGCTCCAGCCTGCTGGACTGAAATTGCCCCAGTGTGCCCCTCCTTGATATCCCGCAACCCACCACCAGGGTTCCGACACATAACACACTTTTTTCAGGAAAGTAAACCTCCAGGGGTCCTTTCCATATTTTTACAGAGACTGCATAAGGACCGTTAGAAAAGCATTACCCATTGATTATTAAGCTTGGACCAGTGGGGTCCGGTGTTCGGGCCCCACCACGTAAAACCAGTCCCCATGACGTGAGTGGAATCTCAGGTTATGGAACCCACCAGGAGTTGAAAACAAGTGCACGCTCTCTCTCACTCACACACACACGCTCTCTCTCACACACACACACACACACACGCTCTCTCTCACTCACACACACACGCTCTCTCTCACACACACACGCTCTCTCTCACACACACACGCTCTCTCTCACTCACACACACACGCTCTCTCTCACTCACACACACACGCTCTCTCTCACTCACACACACACGCTCTCTCTCACACACACACACGCTCTCTCTCACACACACACACACACACGCTCTCTCTCTCACACACACGCACACACGCTCTCTCTCTCACACACACACACGCTCTCTCTCACACACACACACACGCTCTCTCTCTCTCACACACACACACACGCTCTCTCTCTCACACACACACACGCTCTCTCTCTCACACACACACACACGCTCTCTCTCTCTCACACACACACACGCTCTCTCTCTCACACACACACACACGCTCTCTCTCTCTCACACACACACACGCTCTCTCTCACACACACACACACGCTCTCTCTCTCTCTCTCTCTCTCTCTCTCTCACACACACACACACGCTCTCTCTCTCTCACACACACACACACGCTCTCTCTCTCTCTCTCTCTCTCTCTCACACACACACACGCTCTCTCTCTCACACACACACGCTCTCTCTCTCACACACACGCACACACTCTCTCTCTCACACACACGCACATGCTCTCTCTCTCACACACACACACGCTCTCTCTCATACACACGCACACGCTCTCTCTCTCACACACACACACATGCTCTCTCTCACACACACACACACGCTCTCTCTCACACACGCTCTCTCTCTCACACACACACACACACTCTCTCTCTCAC